GGATTGAGGAGGTCGCCAGCACACACACAGGGGAAGCCACCAGCGTCAGAGGGGCCCTTGAGGGAATTGGAGATGCATTTAGATATTTCTCGGTGGAGGGCGTCGCTTCAGGGAGAGGAGCATGGAGAGCAAGCAGAGGAGGTGTCACGAGGGGAGGTGCCACGAGAGGAGGTGCCACCGGGGGAGATACCACGAGAGGAGATGCCGCGGGAGGAGGTACCACAGAAAGAGATCCGGGGTACTCAGCAAGAGAGAGGGTTGGGCGATGAGGGGAGACGTGCAGGAAAGGAAGTGATAGAGGTTGGAGAGGACACGCCCCCACAGACGCCAGTAGTGGGTTTGAGACTCGGGGATGCACCAGGGAGCACCCCACCGGCAAATGAGGGGTTGCAGAGAGAGGAGACCCCTTTACCTTCGTCAGGAAAGGCTCCTTCGCCAGAAGAGAGGGCATCTGTTAGGAGAGAAGCTTCGATCCTGATTGATAGACACCTAGCAGCTCATGCCCTGGAGCACCCAGACCTGGAGGAGCCAGCACCTGCAGAGCCACGCCGCGAGTCATGCTAGCCCGAGAAGGAGATGGAAGCAGAAATCCCAAAGAGGGTCGACCTCCGCACGAGGGAAAGGGGGCCAGCTGGAGAGACGGCCGAAGAAAAGAGGGCAAGACGAACATGGCGGATAGATGAGATATGGCAGGAAAGGCGGAGGTTGGAGGCAGCAGGGGAGCTCCCGGAGCAGAAGCAGGAGAGGCAGAGATCGGAGGCAGCAGGAGCACTCCCGGGTCAGCCAGCCAAGGCCCCGGAAATTCCTGAAATGTGGAGAGACTTCTGGGAGCAGAGAGGAGAGGAGCTTCCATCGCCAGTCAGAGCCGGGTTTGGGGTGGCCAAGAAGGCGGAAGAAAGGTTAGATCGTAAAATCAAGTTCCTGGCCAAGACCACTTTTGATCGGCACTTGTTATTGGAGGGCGATCTGGCGGGGAAGAAAATGAAGGAAGCCAACCATGGAGTACGTCTGGAGGCTATGGAGGTGGAAATTCAGGAACTTAGGGCTTTGGTAGCCAACCAGGCAGCTATCATTGAGAGCCTGAGGCAGCAAACCCAGGGAAAGGTGGACAGACCAGAGAGCAGCCGGCAGGGAGAGCAGAAGCAGCCAGGACAGTCATCTGCGACAGAGCCTCGCCAGGAGCCGCCTATGGGGAGAGTTATCCTGGAGCCAGAGGAGGCGAGAGCCCAGAGACAGGCAGAGAGAGAGGCGTTCGAGTTTAGAGCCCCTACTGAGCTCGCGACGCTGCCGGTGGCGGCGGCAGGCCCAGTCGTACCTTTGGCAGTAGAGGAGGGGCTGCCACCATCTAGCAGTGAGCCGGCTCAGGGCTCGGCAGAGGGATCCATGGGCGTGTTCCTTGAGGCGGTGCATACTATG